ATTGACTTACATTAAATGTAAAATATGTTTTTTCCTTTTCCTGTAAAGTTCTGTTATAGTTTTCAAGGCTCTAAATGACCTTAGAGCCGAATGTCTCTCTGTTAATGTTTCAACATGTGATCTTAGATCTGCAGATACTGACTTTCTGCAGATACCTGTAAAATACAGAAAACATAGAGAGACTCTTTCAATTATTATGCCTCTAACCTGGAACTCAGTTCAGCCTTTTATGAGACAGTCAGGCTCAGCGTTCACTTTTAAGAAACATTTGAAAACATCTCTAACTTAGCATTTAATTAAAATCTACATCTCTTTGGTATTTATTATTTAATTTGATCTGTGTCATTGCCTTATAGGATTTTAAATTAATACTCATAGTTTCTTCTATTGCTGTCAAGCTTTATCACCTGTCTGTAAAACACTTTGGGCTGCCACTGGTATGAAGAGTGCTCTAGAAATCAAGTTATTATTGTTCTTCTTATTATTATTATTATTATTCTTATCAGCGTGCATGCTGTTGTTAAAGCCCATATTTACAAATTCTCCACATTCATGAAAATATTACAAAAATTTTACAGGTATCTGCAGAAAGTCAGTATCTGCAGATCTAAGATCACATGTTGATTCTTTGTATCAAATTAGAAAAGAATGAAAAATATAAAGGTACTTTCACTAACATGCCATTGGACATATTAATACACATAGGTGCTTACATATTGTCAATTTTTTGCTAAAGTTCTGCTCTGTTTTTATGTGCTACCACATGGCATTATTTGACATCAGTGTTTTGCCTTATTTATATTGAGAGTGGAAATTTCCATCAAATGATACTGGAATTTGTAGGCATTATTCAAAAAGTATTCAAAAGACTCCCTCCACATACAGGCTACCAGATTAATCAGATAAGTGACATGCAGTGTCCAAACTCTGCATCTTACTGTTACTGTACTACATTAAATCGCGACTCCGTATGTGACTTGAAATTTAGACAGAAAAAAGGCAGGAAATCTTTAAGATACACAGACAAATGCTAAGCACATGTTTTCATCTCTGCTAATGTTTAGTCATAACTTAATAATCTTACTTCACTTCATAATTCCTAACTTACATACTACATACTAACCTAGTAATGTTAACTAGGTTAGCTTAAAAACAGTTAGCTTAAAAACAGTGAAGGAGTAGAGATCAGATTGTATTGAGTTAATGAGTTAACGGGGAGAAAAGAGTGGAAGGAAAGGCCAGTCTCTTGGGGTAACCTGTTAGCTATTAGCCTAGCATGATGACTCTGCCAGCTTTCTGTGTACCGCCTATGGCGCTCTTCGCTCAGCCAGCTGCTTCAGGCGATGCCACGGCCTTGGCTTACAAGCTGAGAGAAGCTCAGCAGCTTCTCTGCTAAAGCTGATAGTGTGAACTGCTTGTAATATTTACTAAATTCCTGCAGTGTCTGACGATCGTAGATTAAAGCTTGAGTAGAAGAGACGCACATACGAGACAAATGACTTTTGCATGTAAAACAACATTCAGCACTGTTTTTTTGCAGGTTCAGAGAAGCCACTTTGGGCTTTATGTACACATTTATATCATTACAGTTGCATATTAACATCTCTCTGCGTATTGTTAATTTCTTTTTTTTTCTACTTCACCAGAAAAAAATATTTTAGATTTACTTCACTTGTTAAACATGGTTCTTATAAATAATGAAGGGGACATCTAGAATAATACGCTGATGTTAGTCTATAAAAAATCTTTACTTAAACATCCAAAATGGTTTAATTTGAAAAAAAACTACATAAACACACTATACTGTGATAGATACTGAAACCATCAGTAATCTTAATTATACCTTGATATCAATTTTTCATTTTTTTTTCTACACTGCCCTCTGATAGAAAATAGAGTTCAGACATCTCATGAATCTTAAATATGAGAATGTTATAGAGAAGCTAAATTGCTTAATCAAAAAACTTCAAACAGAATCAAATTTACTGGAACTTTTGTGACTATTTAAAAACTCAAACTCCTCCCTAATTTCTCCCTTACATTCCCTTGTGTGTGTGTGTGTTTGTGTGTGTGTGTGTGTGTGTGTGCGCGTGTGCATATTTGTTTCTTCATGCACGAAAATAGGAACACCTCAAAAAAATTAGAGGACACGTGTGAGTGGTCTTTTGTAGTGTATCCTTGTACAGAGTGCACACACACACGCACAGTGAAGCACTAGCAGAGGGTAAAGCAAAGTGATGGAATGAGGTTATGTGTGGCTTTAGGTCTAAACTCAGCCCCCACACAAACATCCCCTTGGTTTTATTATTTTGTCCTTGTCGTAATTGTTACTAATGAACTTCATCAGGCTTTGTTTATCTAACTGTGACAGAGACAGAGCAGCAGACAGAGAGGGAGAGAGAGAGAGACAAAGGTACTTCTATATAGGATATAGGTGTGATGTATATTGAATAGTAGGGCTGTAGGAATGAATTGATGAATGGTGATGGGCCTTGAAATGGCAATTAACTGTATTGGTTTTGAAATATTAGAATTGATGGCAATAATCTTTAATAAAATATGTCCTTTTGTTTGGCCAGGCATCTTTGCTCTATTGTTTTATTGTGTATATTATAATACTGTGTAAATGTAGCATAGTGTAAATGTGGTGTATATCATGAAAGAAAGTGGTCCATCATACATTTTAAAACAAAACCCTTCATATATATTCAGTACTGTGCAAAATTCTAAACACTTTCTTTTGTAAAGTTACTATTTTGAAGATGCAAGGTTTTGATCTGACAGTGATAATATATTTAACAGAAGAATACACAGAGGCCTCAACAACTAAAACACTGTGTCAAGTGTTTCAGTGTTTAGTGTCCACACTGTACCTTTATTACAGCTTCCATTTTTTCAGGTCACTTGCTTTCAATTTTTAAAGAAATCTGCAGAGATATCTTTCTACACCTTCAAAGTTCAGTCTTAGATGTTTGTTGCATTTTCGGCTTTGTACGAGCCAAAAAATCCTGAACACATTCAGTAATGTCCTGGACTCTGGGGTGGTCAGTCCATTGTTCTGAAAACACTAGCAGCTTTTTTGTTTGATTTGCAAGTGTTTTTTTGTCTATTTCTTTTCTATGTTAGTGCTTCTTGACAGCTACACATCTTTTCAGACCTATAGCATTAAGTTGTCTTCTCACAGTGGAAGAATAGACAATAATAGTGTAGATGTTTTCAGATCTGAATCAAGAGTGGAGCTTAATTTATCCTCGCTCTCAAAGATGAAAGCTTAAATAAGAGACAGTTTTGGTGGTCTACCAGGTCTTGCATGGTTGTTAGGAGTCCCATTTTCCTGTATCATCTTTTTTTTCTAGCTTTGGAAGCTCCTGTTTTTGCTATTTTCTTTTGACTTTCTCCTTTTTTATGCAAGAGGATTATCTTATATCTAATCTCCTCAGAAATATCCTCCTAACTTGTAGTTAGGTTTTGAATGGAAACATTGTCATGGTAAATTGTTATTTTAAATCACAGAAAGCTCTTCTGTGTTTTTGTATTAAATGTGTTGACAGTTTTTCATAATAATTTTTAAACGTGGCATGATGAACTTTTCTACAAGCATCATTATGTTTTTTCCATATCGGCCAAGCCTTGCTGCACGTTTGTGTGTGTGTGTGTGTGTGTGTGTGTGTGTGTGTGTGTGTGTGTGTGTGTGATTGATCTGTATGGTAGGGTAAGTATGTAAGCCATAAGGAGTGCTCCTGGATGTCAGACTCACCCAACCGGAAAATGAGAAACCTCTACATCCTTGCTCCATTAAAAACACCACATCCCTGCAGACACACACACACACACACACACACACATCCCCACAGTCTATTACTCTTCACAAGTCAGTTCACTCCAGAGCCGATAGCTCATTGATTAATTGTGCGTGTGTGTGTGCATGTGTGTGTGTGTGTGTGTGTCTTCTTACATGTGCATTCATGCATGTAAGTGTGTGTGGTCATTTTTACACTTATTGATTAGCATTTATATCCACACTGACAGGATGTTGAATGATTTCGATCAGTTTCTAATTAGGCTTTAATGAGAAATGTGATAATGTTCTGTGGTCACTTGATGGTTTTCAGTCTTTCTGTTCATAGTTTATTTCAATCTCAAATTCCCGGATTGTGTCAGTAATATATGGCTGCAGCTGCCACTCGCACGCTCTGTTGCTCCCACAGACACCAGCACCATTCTCATGGCATGTGAGCTTTATTTGGATAATTGTTATTGAATTCATTTTTTAAATAAAATATGGTCCTGCATTAAGCTTGTGTGTCCAGTTCTGTTTTCTACCACTATGTTTTTTTCATTCATTTGAAATGCACTTACTATTGTTTTGCTTAATCAGAGTAACAATAAAGCATGACTGTTGTGTGACGTATGTTCCTATTCATGTGTTTTCTTGTGTTTTCGTGTTAATTTGTGACTCTAACTGAATAAAAATCTCAGAATTTTTGGCTTTGTTAAATCATTTTCTTTACATAAATAAATACAATAACAGCAGTTAGAAAATGTAAAGAAATTGTGTTAAATAACAGAAAAGAACAGAACAAAAAACAGCAATAATAACTTAATGTTACTACCTAGCTATTATTTTTCATTTTGATGTTATTTATTTAGATCAAGGTGCAGTGTTTCGTCATGGTGAGCCAAAGCAAAAAGCATGTGGTGGCCAAATCAATGCCCTTGCGAGCTTCCTTGGGCCATGGGCACCACTCTGGTTAGCTCTGATTTAGATGCTTCTATCTCAATGACTTGTGTTCTACTTTGTGTTCTCTTTTCACCTTTTTGTTAGTGTTTTAACCTCTAAAACTACATTATTAATGTTAGCTAACTGCACAATATCCTCCTTGATTTTGCCACTGAGTCTTTGCCCTCTCTGATTTGTCCCTGCGTATATCTGTTCTCTCTGATTGGCCCCTTGCAGGTTTTAACTCCTCTCTGATTGGTTGTTTTTGTTGTGTGTGCAGGTACGGCAGCTCAGGGCAGCCCCCTGCTGGCTGCGCTGCCCGTGCAGGGTCGTCCACTACAGACGCCTATGGACCTCAAGAACTTCCTGCCATTCAGGCTCAATGGCTCCTCCCCCCTCAGCCTCTTCCCTAACTTCAATACTGTGAGTCTTTCAAAAGGAAACTGTTTTTACATTCAAACATGCTTAAATATTTTATAGTGATGGTAAATTAAAGGAATGGTTAAGTGAAAAAATCCATTTTTTATGTTGCTGTTTAAGGCATGACTGTGTGTAGTACAAGCTTCATTTACTTCTTAGCTAAGTTTGGCTTGTAGCTGTTGTCCAAAACTAAAAGAGCAAATTTCAGACATTAAACATCTAGGCCACATGTGTCAAGCTCCAGCCCTTACAGGCCAAAACACTGCAGACTTCAGCACACTGCCTCAATAAACACACCTGATTCAGCTCATCAGCTAATTAGCAAGGCCTTCATGAACTGAATTCAGAGCGTAAGATGAGGGTATATGCTAATCTCTGCATCACTTTGGCCCAGAAGGTCCCCAGTTTGCCTGGTCTAGGCTGATCAACTACTTTTGCGGAAGGGGGGTATTTGAAATATGATTTTTGTCTAAACTCATTACTGATTTACTACTACAGATTTACAGCAAGATAATTAAAAAATTTGGCTGCATTGGCTTCTGAGTGGCACTACGGTCTAAGCGTTGTCCGTATTGTTGGGTGATATCCCCTGGAGGTGCCAGCATTCAGTAGCCAGCAGTCCAAGAGAGCAAAACTGGCCTCACTTTCTCTGGGTGGGCAGGATCACGCTCTTTCTCCCACCATGCTAGCAAACACTCGAGTCAACTACCTTAGCTGAGAAAGCACGCTAGTGATACAATGCTGCTTGGCCACGCTTGGCTGTCGCTCTAGCACCCCCTGCTGTAACGCTCAGAATGCAGCTCACGCTTGTGTTGCATCATAATTTGTGTCATGACACATTTTTGAATGCAACAATGCGCAAAACCGCGTCTGCGTAGCTCAAAGCATCTTTGTTCACGTCCTTGCTTGAAGTATTTTTCTGGCTATAGCCTTTGTCCTCCTAGCTCGGTAGCATCTTGTGATAGGAGGAAACCTATCTTACATGTGGGAATCGGCAATGGCCGAATTTGGGAAGAAAATCCCCCCCAACAATCCTGCACATAATGACTCTTCATAAATCAAGGTAATTGAATACACTACTTCAATTATCACCCGCACTGTCTTCTGGAGCCCAGCATTGTCGTGCAAAAGCAGTGCCTCTGTTCTGAAGTCAGTTGTGATCTGGTCACCCTGGATTGGCCAGTTTGTTCATGATTGTGTTATTATTATCAGACTGAGCTCTGGCACTCTGTTTGTGTTCACCTTGCACCCTCAACTATCACATAATAAAAAATAACAGAGCTACACACACAGATACGCAGACTCAAATAGGCTGAGAGTCATGTTCCTCCTCCAATCAGATAAGGCTCAGTATGTGTCACACACTGCAGTGATAAATGCACCTGTCTCGGTTACAAAGTAGCTGTCAGTGACCTCGTCCTTCTCCTCTTCTGCTCCTCACCTCCATTCTTAAGGTTTGGTTATACTTCTGCATCTGTCTGCATCTGTTGTCATGTGCACGTGCCAGCATGCTTGCACAATAAATACTCGCTTCACTGTTATAGATATACATATATATATATATATATATATATATATATATATATATATATATATATATATATATATATATATATATATATATATATATATACACTGATCAGGCATAACATTATGACCACCTCGTTTCTATGTTCATTGTCCATTTTATCAGCTCCACTTACTATATAGGTGCACTTTGTAGTTCTACAATTACAGACTGTAGTCCATCTGTTTCTCTGCATACTTTGTTATCCCCCTTTTACCCTGTTCTTCAGTGGTCAGGACCCCCATGGACCCTCACAGAGCAGGTACTATTTGGGTGGTGGATCATTCTCACCATTCTGGTGTGTTAGTGTGTGCTGCGCTGGTCTGAGTGGATCTATCACAGCAGCGCTGCTGGAGTTTTTAAACACCTCCGTGTCACTGCTGGACTGAGAATAGTCCACCAACCAAAAATATCCAGCCGACAGCGTCCTGTGGGCAGCATCCTGTGATCACTGAAGAAGGACTAGAGGATGACCAACACAAACAGTGCAGCAGCAGATGAGCTATCGTCTCTGACTTTACATCTACAAAGTGGACTGACAAGATAGAAGTGTGTCTAGGAGGCAAGCGCACAGCTGGAACAGGAGAGTTTATGTTTTTTTTTACAGTTCAAATTCAAGTGAAGAAATCAGACTTCTGTCTTTGCCTGTTTTTACGTTTTTAGACACTCAACGGAGCATCTGTTGTCTGCACTCAGGCACGTTTTCTGGTCCGAGAGAGCTAACACAGCATCCTAACTGAAATACACTGTATGAGCTGCATCTCCTCTCCCTTCATCTCTTTTTCTCTCCATCCGTCTTTTCCTTTGTCCTTTTGTCGAGTTGTTAAGTTCTCTTAAACAGACTTGCTTATGTGGTTTCTGACACAGTACATAGTGTTATTTATTAAAATGAACAAACAATTTGCTGCTGCAGTTTTTTTTTTTTTTATAGACACCTGTACGCCATACAGTGCAAGGGTGGACAACTGTACTTAAGTATGAGTGTCAAAATCTTACACAATATATGTTGGAGTATGAACACAAAAATAAACTTAACTGAAAGTAAAAAAGTATCAATACTCAAACATACTCAAGTATATATGGCCAATTCCAACCTCTGCGCAGCTGAAATGGCAGATGGCTGTTTCCCGGCTGATTTTTATTAGCCTTTTGTTTTAATCAAACATGAATCTCACACTGTGTGGCCTAAATGAACAAAAACATTTTAGCATATTTCCAGTACTTTCTATGAACCAAAGTGATAATATAAATAGCAGTATTTGCTCTTTAATTTACCTTTAACGTTAATGTTTAAATATATTAATGGAAAATCAGTTGCCTGTTTAAATCATATGGATCAAATAAAGTGCTACATTAAAAGTAAGAGGCGACTGGCTATTTAATGATTATGCTATAACGTTTTGTTACAGCAGCATTCAAATACAGCGCAAGTGAACTTACCTGACTCACATTATTTACCTCATAAAATTTCAACATGGCCAAGATAAAAATAGCAAACTGAGCGTTTGCAGATTGTTTTTTTGGAGTAAAAATCTGCAGAATCCCATCTTGGTTGATTCTGATCATGCTTTCATAGTTTTAACACACAAAATTAAGAGTCAGGGCATGCTGGACATAAACTGACCACACTTCTATGTAACTCACACCAGCGAGTCTTTTTAGCAAACTCTGTCCATGTGACTAGTGGGTGGTACTGGTCACTGCACAAAGATGAATTATCGTTTTACAGTGATTTGAAAAACACAGTGGAAATGTGTTGGACCTCAGCTTGCAAGAGGGGAAAAAAGAATAATCTTAGAGTACTTTAATGACACACTGACATTTGTTGACTTTCTAAGTGAAAGCAAGTTAATCCATCCTCTATAGAGAACACATTCAAAAATGGCATTTTCCTGCAAATTTGAGTGCATAATTTTTATTTTTTGAGATAACATATTGGAAAAAAATCAAACATAAAATATACATTGCACCATAACCTTTGCACAATATGTTGAACAAATAAACAGTAATTATGTATTAAAATATGCAGAAGTGTGTTCACTGTAGAGGATGTTATTGTCACTTAGAAAATCAGAAGAACGTCATTTGATCAGGATGCCCAAATTATTACGTATGATTGTAAGTATAGTAACACTTATCTAATATTTTGTGCCATACAGAGTTTAAGTTACAGTATACACAGTGCTAACCTGGGGGACTGTAAGCTTTACATTAGTCTTGAATAAGACTAAATAAAAACAAAATAAACAAGCTAACTTAAGATTCCAAGCATTTTTTGGTGGAACCGTCACTCATATATTTTATTGCTATAATATTAGAAGCATTTCTCTTCTCTTTAGTTTCTCCACTGAGGTCACGTCTACCTTAAGAGTCTCTGCTTTATCACGGCTCAACAATGGGTGTCTTTAACACACACAGAGTGCTGGCTGCATCCCAGACGGTCAGGCATGACTGCGGCTTGACAATGCACACATTCTTGGGGTCCTAAAGCAAACGGTGGTCCAGGAGGCTGCAACAGGCTGCTGCTGGGCAGTGTGTGTTCCCATGGCATACGTTTGCTGGGGGAAAGTCCCCGTCCCCTGGGTGAAGGGTTTAAAGTTGCAGTGTGAGCTTTTGTGGTGCTTTTGTGTGGAGAAGCCAAAGAAGTGGGGACCAAGCAGGAGCTGGACAAATCGTAGGAGTCTTATAGACAGAGAGAGAAAGAGAGAATAGAGGAGAGTCAATATATGCTGTTCCTGCATTCTGGACTTTGTAATTCTTCATCATAATTTGTCCTTTGCATGAGATTCATGGAGATTTTTAGACACATTCTCTTACCCTGTTGTTTTTATCGTCTCTCCCCCTCTCTCTCCCTCTCTCTCTCGCAGATGGACCCTGTACAGAAGGCTGTTATTAATCACACCTTTGGCGTTCCTCAGAAGAAGAAGCAGGTTATCTCCTGCAATATCTGCCATCTCCGCTTCAACTCCACGGTCAGTACTCAGTGGGCTGGTGGCTTGATTTTTAGATTTTTTTTTTTTTTTCGTTTACCACTCTCTACCACTTCTCTCGCTCTCAGACACATGCACATCTCATCTTGTTGGTATCATTTGCTACATCTCAGAAATGCTAACTTTATATAAGAAGGAAGAAACATTATTTTATTAAGTATTTTTGGATTATTTCTAAGGATGCTTAACAGTTAACCAGTGTAACTTATTAACAAAACAACGTGTGTGTGTGTGTGTGTGTGTGTGTGTGTGTGTGTGTGTGTGTGTGTGTGTGACATTTTCAAATTATATTAAAAACTGAAAAACATCAAAAACGGAGATACAAGGTTTTCTTCCGGCAACAGCGAGATATATGAGAGAACTTATTTCAGATTTTTACAATAACTTCACAACAATGGGACCTAACTGTTCATCATGTGGCCATGAGGGACAGGGATGTAGTCTCACTTCCTGCTCTAAAATGCAGGGTGGGTGTAGCTAAAATAAGGCTTCAGTATTTCAGTTGTAACATGAAAACTTAGGACAGTGTTTATTACATTTTTTTAATTTCAAAATTAAATTCATGATAAAGATAAATATTTGAATATTTCTTTTCATTAAAAAAGAGATCTTTTGTGAAAACAACATGGAAAAATACCCATACATTTTAAGTATTATTTTCGTAAGGTCGAAGTTTAGGGTTTAGGGTTTGGGACAGGTGCCTGCTGAAACCAAATGAATGCAGTAAATAACATTGTCAGAATACCTTGTTTAGAAATGTATTAATTCATTTGTTCTGCATTTCTTACATGCTCATTAATGTAAAATTAATTCACATTAATTAATTCTCAGTGAAACCCATACAGCAGGGGTTAATGGGATTTGAAGTTTTGTTCTCGGTGGTCACTTAGAGCCTCTAGCTCAGTTGCTGAAGCTGATCCAGCAGTGTGGTCTGTAGGGTGCTGCAAAGTCTATCAAACGCTCATTAACTCTCCAGAGAGCTCCCTCTATCATTTCCTCTCTCTATCTCTGCTTCTCTCTTTCTCTGCTTCTCTCTTTCTCTGCTTCTCTCTTTCTCGAATTCCTCCGTTGGTTTGTGCTCTCTGCAGAGTTGATTTATTAGCTTGTGGAACATGCAGTGCAAGTGATTTCAGCCCATTTCATCTCCGATTTGCATTTATGTGGTGAAAAGGAAAGAGTCGGTGTGTGTCTTCTGTTTGTGTATGTTTTTGTGTGTGTTTGTGCCAGTTACTCCTGATGGCATCCCTACACATGGTGACCCTTGCGGCTTTTAGGCCTGTAAAAAAATATCTACTTTGTCATTAGGTTTTGTTCATTGATTGATTTATTTAAGAGTTGTTTATTCAAAAATGGCTTTTCTTGCCTTTTATTCTGCTCTGGTTATTTATCAGTGTTTCACAAAGCTGGTCTCGTATTGATTTTGATATGATCTAACAAAGCTGAAAATTCAAAATGTTTTTTGCCAGAAACTACCATTTTGATGAAATAAACATGAGGAACAGTATTCTTCACATTTTAGTCACCTTTTATTGTTACTCTGATCATACACATCATGTATAAGTTGTTCCATAGTGCTGTGAAGTGTTTGTGAATGTGAGCACATGCTTGCTCAGTAAATATGATTAGAGTGATAGAAAACACAATAAAACACAGAAAGCTCCAGTTTCTCATGCTGATCCATTTTACTATGAACAGCATGAATGCACATGCAGTTTAACTACTCTAGGGGCAAATTCAAGATTTAAAGGTGGGGGGGTGGCATGTATGATTGATGATATGTTAGGTAAAGGTCAGTTCACATTGGTTGCATTTCTGACTGTTTTTTAATTGTCTGAGAGAACAAATGAACAGCTTTAGTTTAAATCAATGTTTAAGTACACACTGGCTGGACTAGACACGCATCCTACAATACTGTTCAAAAGTCAGAGACCACCCCTCATTTATTTCATTTCCAGTCAAAATGGACATAAGGAATACATTATTCATTTTTCACTGTCAGGAAAAAAGGTATATAGAAAGTATATATTTAACAGAAATATGGAACAGAAGACTCAAATAAATATCTTTTTCAGTATTGAGTGTGTCCACTCCTTACCTTTATTACAGCTTCCATTCTTTTGGGGAGTCTTCCTTTTAGTTTTTCAAAGAAATCTGCAGGGATATTTTTCCACACCTTCAAAGTCCAGTCTTAGAAGCTGGTTGTATTTTCTGCTTTTCACGATCCAAAGAAGATCGAGTAATGCTGACTTCTGGACTCTGGGTGGTCAGTCCATTGTTCTGAGAACACCAGCAGCTTCTTTGTTTGATTTGCATGTTTTCTTCTTTTTTTGTCTGTTCTCTTTTCTCAGTAAGAGCTTCTTGACAGCTACACATCCTTTCAGACACATAGCGCTGAGTTGTCTTCTCACAGTGAAAGGATGGACAGAAACACCTGTGGATTTTTTCACATCTGAAGAAAGAGTGGAGCTTGATTTTCTCCTCTCTCTCTTGTACAGATGAAAGCTTTAAATGCTGTTTATCTGATGCGGACAGCTTTGATGGTCTAGCAGGTCTTGCATGGTTGTTAGGAGGAGGAATTTTTTTTATTCATTTTTGAACTTCAGTTTTGGAAACTCCTGTGATTTCACCCTTTTTTCTTTGACTGTCCTCTTCCTTATGCAGGTGAATTATCTTATATCCAGTCTCTTTAGGAATATCTCCTGAAAAAAAGCTCTCCTTAATGGCTGTTTTCAGCAGAAAGAAAGGAAAGGTAGTCTTTTGCGCAGTACTGCACATGTGCAAAACGCATGCCCTTCCTACTTACTCATCAAGTCTTTTTTATTATTTGGTAACACTTTATCATAATAAATAAATGATTGTTCCAAGCATATTTATGAGTAATTTACTGTAACAAATGCTAAAGAAAAATACTTAAAAAGAAATCAAAATAGTAAGTGTAATGCGCCTGAGAGACACCTATGTAGACACTCTTTTTTTCAGTAAAGCGATCAAGTCACATACCGCAAAGCAGCTCCTGCACTGTACTGATGATGTGTGAAACCTACTTTTGTAATATCGAGGCTTTTATCCTGTACCAGCACAGTAAAAATACTGTGATTATGATTTTGTCGCAGTAGCAAATCTGCTGTTTGCGCTGTCAAGTTACTGTAAAACCAAAGCTGATAAAGCTACTATAAAACTGTTTAAATAGAAAAGAAAGAGAGAAAAAAGCTGTTATTCCCATCTGAAGCAATTACATGATGGTGCCAGAGTCAGAGGCAGCGTGGATCGGATGCACGGTGACTTTAGCTTCACTCATGCTGTACTTATGTGACGCTGAGATGGTGTGTCTGCTGTGAATTCTGGGTGAGACGGTGTTAAAGACAGGTGTGAAAGACACTAAACACTGAGACAATACACAATACAAATAGACGTGCAGTTGACCCCTGATCTGTGCAATGCATCTTCCTCTCCTAACAAGACTTCAACTAACAACATGCTCAGAGAAGCCACAGGCTGCACAGGGCACAGCTGGGACTAGAACCTCAATCCTAGCAGCTGAGTGTGTCTCCGCACTGCTAAACGCTGCTTTTATCAGTGTCTTCAGGGTCGTCATTTGCCACCTCAGCACATTAGCGTCCTGCTTTATTACACAGCAGTGACTGCTGGGAAAACTGATTGGACAGAAATGAAGCATATTTTTGGTTTTTGCTTTGATTTTGTGCCACAGTTTGTTTTTATGATCTGAAAACAACTGAATTATTAGCAGCATCAGAACAAAATTGCAAATGTAATTGGTTTCTTTCTGCCTCTCTCTCTCTCTCTCTCTCTCTCTCCTTTCTCTCTCTCCTTTCTTTCTCTTTTTCTCTACTTTTCTGCTCTCTTTCTGTCCTTCTCTCTCTCTTCTTTCTTTCTATCATGCTCTCTTTCTCTCCTCTCTCTCACGTTCTCTTTCCCTCTCCATCCTGCTTTCTCCCTTTCTCTTTGTCTCTCTCTTCCCTCTCTCTCCCCCTTTTCTTTTTCTTTACTTTTCTTTTTCTCCCTCTTGCTTTTTCTCTCCCCCTTCTCTTTTTCTTTTTCTCTCTCCTCTCTTTTTCTCACCCACTCTTATCTCACTGTTTTTTCCTCTCCTTTTCGTTTTTTTCTCTCTCTTGCATTCTCTCCCCCTCCCCTTCTGTTTCTTTTTCTCCCTATCTCTCTCATCTATCTCTTTCTCTCTCCTCTTCTTTTTCTCCCTCTTGCAATCCCCCTCCTCTTTTTCCTTTTTCTCTCTCCTCTCTTTTTATCCCTCTCTCTCTCGCTCTGTTTCTTTCTCTCCTTTTTTTTTCTCCCTCTTGCATTCTCTCCCTCTCCCCTTCTCTTTCTTTTTCTTTTCTCTTTTTCTCCCCCACGCTCGCTCTCTCGTGCTCTGTTTCTTTCTCTTTCTCTTTTTCTTTTTCTCCCTCTTGCATTCTCTCCCCCTCCCCTTCTCTTTCTCTTCTTTTCTCTCTTTTTCTCCCTTTCTCTCTCATCTTTCTCTCTCATTTTCTTTTTTCTTTTTTCCCTCTTTCATTCTCTCCCCTCCCCTTCTCTTTCTTCTTCTTTTCTGTTTTTCTCCCCACTCTCTCTCTTGCTCTGTTTCTTTCTCTCTCCTTTTCTTTTTCTCCCTCTTGTATTCTCTCCCCCTCCCCTTCTCTTTCTTTTTCTTTTCTCTTTTTCTCTCTCTTTCTCCCTTTCTCTCTCATCTCTCTCTCCCTCTCTCTTTCTCTCTTTCTCTCTCTCTGCATTGTTGTGAAGTGGTTTCTTTCTGTCTTATTTCACACTACACATGCAATTATAGCTCTGCCCCTCCCGCTGGCTGTATCTCCTCTTATCAGCTCAGTCCAGACTGAGATTGTCCCTGTATGGTGTGTGTGTGTGTATCTGTGTATCTGTGCGTGTGCGTCTGTATGTGTGTCTGTCTGCACATTCACACATGCTTGAGCAAAATATATCCTGAATATTAATCTCTTTTTTCCCACCAGAATGTTACATTATTTTTGTTAACAGAAAAATAAGATCTAAAGTTTGTTTAACTTGTAAGTGATGTATGAGTATGTTCCAAAAGTGGATTGTTAATGAAGGATTCTCTCCTTCTTTTTTGCTCCCTCTCTTTCTTCCTCTCTCCAGAATCAGGCTGAAGCGCATTATAAAGGTCATAAACATACTCGTAAATTGAAGGCTTTGGAGGCTCAGAAGAACAAGCAGCACAGACGACAGCTTGAGCACTCACACGGCCGAGAGAGAGAGAAGGAGAGAGAGAGGGACAGAGGGAGAACGAGTGCACCTGAGCCTCTCCCGGCCCTTCTGGAGCCCTGTGCGATGGAAGCATCCAGTAAGTGACCAGACATGTATGTGTGTGTGTGTAAGACTGAGATTACTGAGATTAAGATTAGGGCTATATTTTGGGTTAGAAAAATCGTATTACTTATAGATACTTATATATTTTTATATAATATATTTTTTTTATATATAAAACACCCAAATATACTTTATGTCCAGTATGGAGTTAGTTTTAGGTAAAAACAAAAAATCCTGCTTTGCAGTAAAATAAAGCTCTACTGATCGTTCTAACACAATTTAACAATAAAGGGTCTTAAATGCCGGAGTTAAGGTATAACTGCTAATTCACCTTTTAACCTTGAAGGTTGGCATGCAGACTGCTGGACCATAGCAATGCAGGTAACAGTCTAGCCTAACTAGTAGCTAACAAAAGGGCAAAAAATTCAGACAAACATCAATAATTTAGAGACTAACGGACTCATTTGCATTTGTAGGCACTCTGGTTTCCTGATACATTTACTCTTAAATGAGAAACTGTCAAACACTAAAAAGTCACAAAGCTGAAGTCAGCTTCTCATTCACCAGCTTCTTGTTTGAATTTTCCCATTCCACCTTAAATGGTGCCCAGTTGCCTTCTGGCTCCTCAGGCACCATTTAAGGTGGAACAGAAATTTCCGACAAGAAGCTGGCGAAGGAGAAGCTGATTTCAGCCTTGTAAAAAGACAGATGTTGAGAGACATTTTACAAGAAACTATTCTACTTTTGTGGAAAAGTTTCCTGCCAGAGATGTGAGAAAAGCAGCTATAGTTGAGCTAAAGTTTAAAGCAGAGCAAAGAAAGTCTGTCATTTATATTTTTAGCCTACACTAGTACATTTGAACATACTGAGACACACTTACAGCCAAGATGGTCAAACGTTACTTCATTCAATAAATGGACATAAAATGTTGTGGCTCCCAACACAGATTGATTTTTGTTGAAAGGACAAAATGGCTCTTAACATTTGGGTTGCTGACCCATGTTGTAAGGAGGAGGGAGCCATTTAAGATTCTGCCTGAAACAGTTTGCGGCAGTGTGGTGTCACCTTACCTGAATACTGTGCATTGATTTGCTGAACAGATTTGTCAGGTTGTGCTCGAGAACAGCGCTGCCGTTGGACTGTTTCTGCTGCAAAACATGAATTTGCAATGTCCTGACGATGGACAATAATGGCTTTTATGACAGAATATATGTAGGGTTCAGAATGCTTTATGTGTCAAGAATAACTCATGACAGCTCTTTTTTTGTTGCAAACGAACTCTTCATTTTAATTGTAATAACCTTTCTTTGTTTTACATATTTCAAAATTTAAACACTTTTTGTAGATATTTTTGGTTGGTGGACTATTCTCAGTCCAGGAGTGACACTGAAGTGTTTAAAACCTCCAGCAGCACTGCTGTGTCTGATCTACTCAGACCAGCGCAACACACACTGACACACCACCACCATGTCAGTGTCGCTGCTGTGCTGAGAATGATCCACCACCTCAATAATACCTGCTCTGTGGTGGTCCTGTGGGGTTTGAAAAACAGGGTGAAAGCTAACAAAGTATGCAGAGAAACAGATGGTCTACAATCTGTAATTGTAGAACTACAAAGTGCACAGATATGGTAAGTGAAGCTGATAAAATGGGCAATTAATGTAGAAACAAGGAGGTACTTAATGAAGTTGCCAGTTCAGTTTATGTAATACACATGGGACATATGTATTACCACAAATGGGACTTACGTATGACCCCATGTTTTGACATTGTTAAGAATTAAACATTCCTTAACGAATCAGTGCACTCTGATTGGCCCCCACTTCTGTCTCAAAGACCCTTGGGTAAAGGGCCACTGCTGCGTCCACATCAGTGCATTCCCCACCAAAGCCCACACTAAGGGCATATAGAGGGCGCTTGTGAGCACCTCTTTGATCACCAGAATGAGAACGGGACACCCGACAGCCCACAGGACCACAGGACCTGCTAATTGAGACAGGGCTTAATTATGCTCTGTAGCTCTCTGTAAAATATGTATAGGATTATAGGTATTGTAGTTTTAAGTGTGCTTGCTATTTGGCCCATGGAGAGAAGGCCCGGAAGATAAATTCAGGAGCTGACCGTGGTTTCATTACCTGTTATTTCTCCATTCTTCAGACACTTATTCTTCCTTTATCTGCATGACAGCAAAATTAAAGGAGGAAGAAGAATCTAATAAATGGAGGCATTGAGACGCTGACATTCCTCCGCAGCCTTGTGGACAGAGTGGCAGGGCCAAAGAAAAAGAGAATGGAGCAGGAGAGCTCATCAAATCTGTTAATATTCTGACTGAGGTGACTCAGAGAGGAAACATTCACTATGGAGAAGAGAAAGAAAGAGATTAGATAAGAGAGAGAGAAAGAGAGAGAGAGAGGGTGTAAAAAAGGGAGCTGATTAGCTACTGCTGCTTTTCATATTGTTAATAATTTCTGTGTTTTTCTGGTAATTAAACTTTGGTATTGCTCTCCTTTGTTCAGCCTTGGATCAAAGATGCGCACACACACACACGCACACTTGTGAGCTTGTGAAGTGTGTTAGCAGCATGTGTTATAGTTTGGCTCAGTAACAGATGAACATTCATGATTAACACCACACACATGAGAAATGATACACATTCTCACATGAACATACATGAACATACACTAGAGCCTTGGCTAATCGCTGAGTGGAATTACGATCACTTTCAGGCTACCACATTCACGTACACACCTCCACACACACGCACAGCTGATTGCTTGATGAAATTAGCACTGTTCTGTTATTAAGGCTGCAGCTGCAGGGGCCAATCAGCACGAATTGAGCACGTCAACTTCCATTAGAGCCTGAGAGACACGACACAGACGGGGGTTGGGGGAGGGCAAAGAGCAAGAGATGGAGAGAGAAGAGAAAGAAAAAGAGAATAAGAAAGAGAGAGAGAGGAAAAGAAAGAGAGGTGAGAGAGTGATCAACGGGGAAAGAGATATAAAAAGGAAAAGGAAAAAAGAGGAAGGAAAGAGTGTGAGAGAATAATAGAGAAAAGACAAAAGAGAGCAGAAGAGAAGGAGTGTAAAAAGAGAGAGACAAGGAAGGAAAGAGATGTAAAGATACAAAAGAGAAAGAGAGCAAGAGGATAGAATGAAAAAGAAAGACAGAAAGGAGGAGAGAAGGAGAAAGAGAGGAAAGGACAGAAAAGGAAAAGAAAGGGAGACTGAGAGGAAAAAAGAAAAGAAAAAAGAAAGAGAAAAAGGGAGGAAAATGAGAGCGAGAGGATGAAGGGAGATGAGGAAACGAGAAATAGAGAGAAAGACAGAAAAAGTAAGAGAGACAAAGAGAAAGACAAAGATAGCATGTAATAGAGAAATGGGAAAAGAGAAAGAGGAGAGAGTGTATGAGAGGGAGGGGGAGAGAGAGAGAGAGAAAAGAGAAAGAAAAAGAAGGAGAGAAAGGAAAAAGAAGTAGAGAGGAGAAAGAAGAGAAAGGAAGGAACGAGAGAGATAGAGAGAAAGACAGAAAAAGTAAGAGAGAGAGAAAGAGAAAGACAAAGATTGCATGAAATAGGGAATCAGGTAATGAGAGAGAGGAGAGAGTATTTAAAAGGGAGGGGGAGAGAGAGAAAAACGATAGAAAGAAAAAGAAAGAGAGAGGGAAAATGAAGGAGAGAATGGAAAAAGAAGTACAGAGGAGAAGGAAGGGAAAAGAGGAAAACAAGAGAAATAGAGAGAGAAAGACAAAAAAAAGAGAAAGAGTCATATATATGTGTGGAGAGAGGGAGAGAGAGAGAGAGAGATGGTATAGGTAGAGGTAGGGTCTGTGAAGCTCCTCATATCTGTAGTTGAATGCATAACTGCATTTGAATCAGCCCATCAGTGCTAAACTGCTGTATTGTGTTGTTGGAAATGCAGTATGGCGGCTTTAGGTGTGCAGTGAATTAGTTATGAGTGGACTGTGATATGACTCATTGCATTTACTCTTCTGCACGCAGACGAGAACGAGTGAATTCATACGCTCATGAGAGCGAGGGGTGGCAGAAGAGGAATAAATTGCAGACTGAATTATTCCATCCATTCAGGCACATTGCTATTGATTGACTAAGAAACACTGTTATCAGCACAAGGGAGGCATGCATTGTATAGGTGCCCTATTCTGTAGGAAAACCTTAAAAATATGTTTTTAGTTTTTTGTAATTTTTTTTACATTTTTTTATTATTTTGTTTGTTTTTACATAAAGTTGACGCTCACTTTCTAACACTGCGTGAGCACACATTCAGCTTCCAAATGAGCTTTACCTGTATCACCATGCAAATGAAGTCAAGCAGTGAAAAACCCAGAGTACACGGCCTTCAGTGCCTGCAATACAAACAGAGTGTTTCTCTCTCAACAAAATGAAGAGTTTTACATATACAGTGTTTTTAACTCCTTAAATGGTCATGAGTGGTTCCGGGCTACATAATAATAAGCTTTAAGATGTAATAAGCTGGGGAATTTAAGGGGTGAAAAGCAGCCTCTATATACATTATAGATGTAAAGCATTTAGAATCTGCCACTCCAATAGCAGCTAGCTCTACAAAGAGTTAACAGTCTAAAAGTCTTAAACAGAAAGTTACATTTCGCTGTTGTCGGAGCAAAAAATCTCCAAAATCATAACTTGAGGTTTTTTTACTTTTCCTGTACTTTACTTTTAATGTAAGTCAATGGAACGAGACTTCTTTCCAAGTAATTTTGGGCTGTTTTTTTTAGTCCATTCATCATGAAATATGCACACAATGTAAAGAGCAACAGAAAATGGCATTATTATCAGCTGCCAAACGTGCCTCCACCTGCCAAAATCTCTGCTTTTGGAGAGCATTTAGTTTGTTTGTTTTTTTGGGTTTTATTTGACAGAATTTTTTCGTTGTTGTATAGCTAGGCCTAGAAATGAGTTATAATTTTTACCTTGAGTCTTTTTATAATGTGTTTTGTTTACAGGACTGTTTAAGAAAGTAAATGATGTATTTTTTATTTGTAACCATTCAGTGGTTCATTTTAATAGAACTGTGTCAACCCACTCCACATTTTTTAAGACTGCATTTAAACTATTCAAACCCAAAATCTTGGCACACGCTTCAGAGTATTCATTGGCATTAGCTTTGTACTAAAAAATCTAAAATGATGAAAATGGTGAAAAATCTTACCACCTTTTCACGCGTAAGTCACACAGCATCAGGAAACACATAAGCAAGGCTGTTTGAGATTACTGAACAACTTGACACAAGTGTGTAATGATTTAGCCATGCAGTTTCCACAGTGCTAATAGGTAAAGTTTTCCATTACTTGTTAGCTACAAGGGTTGCTCAATTGGAATCGGCCAAGATTGGAATCAGCAGATTTTTGCCCCAAACAAACAATCGGTTATCAGCCAGTTCTTTGTTTTGATAGACTCGTTGTACTTAATAGCCAGTCATCTCTTATGTTTGATGTAGCACTTTATTTGATTCATTTTATTAAAATAGGAATTTTATGGGCAGTTTGGCCCAATAAAGAGCAAATTATGCTTTTCATGTTGCAGCTTTGGCTAATAGAGAGTACTAGAATTGTCTAGGAGTTCCTTTTGCCCACACAGTGTGAGCTTTGGGTAAAAAGGCTAATTAAAATTAGCAGAATAGAAACAGTTTTCTAGAATAAAAAACTGTCTGTACAGGAATCAGAATTGGAATCAACTATTAAAATTCCTGATTGGTGCATTCCTGTTAGCTACATTAGCCATCCAGCACAAAACTAAAGAAGCAAACTAAAGATACCAAATGTCTATATTTGGAATAAGGGTTTTATGATGTAATTATAACTTAATTACATTATATAACTAAAATATTAATATTAATAAGATACAATAATTCTTATTAATAAGAATAAAATATATTCTTGGTTTGAAAATGGCATTATTATCAGTTGCTGAACATGCCTCCTGAAATCTCCACTTTTCACAACTCACCTTCCACTTTGGCACACCGTTATGTTTTATACACTGTAATCCATGATGTAAATTGGATTTGTGACTGAACCACTGCTTGAATATTAGCATAAACTGAAGTGCTCCAATTATGTACAGTACTATGTGAGTTCAGCCCGAGCACAAGGCCAGTGTCTCCCTCATTCTCCCACCTGTCTCTGTGTGCTGACCCCTCTTATGTGATCTTTAGACATCTTACTGATTTTGTGATTGTAGCAACTCCCTGGTGGCAGAGATTTTATAGAAGAATCGAAGGATGTGAGAAGAGAAATGCTCTCAGTCCAGTGGGAGTGTACTGGAGAGATAGATAGGGAGTGCACAAAGGGGTTTTCACACCTGAATGAAGTGTGAAAACTAATGAAATGGAGTGAATTGCATCGGGTAACACTCAGTGTTCATGTCCCTGTGCTGTGTGTGTATTTTGGACTGTGACTGTGCAGGTTTCTGTGGTGGAGAGATTGATCCTCACTGTTGCTGCTGAGTATCACACTCGTTTGCTTACCTTTATCATTCCACTGGCTTGAGGGAGAGAGAGAGAGAGTAAAAAAGAGAGACGGGGAAGTGGTGGAGAGTACTCAAGAAACCAGAGACAAAATAAAAGAGGCTTTAATGTAGATATGCTTTAATAGTCAGAGTGTGAATGTGTTGACAGCATTTAATGTTGAATTAAAGCTTTGACCAACTTGCTTTTTAACTTCTCTGCTTTTGTTAGATGGAGAATTCATTTAAGACAAAAGTGTTGGTATTTAAGTGACTTCATTTTAACCCTCTGAGGTGCAGGGTTATTACTGTCTTTTTGATATGACATTTAAAGAGCCCATGGCCAATACTTTTCTTGCATTATTGTTTTTCCTAAAGATATTGATTTGAGTGGTTTGATGTAGCAAATTCATTTTTACATGACGATTTTAAATCAAGGGCTATCCCCTTTAACCCCAGGCCTCCAACATAATATTATGAAGAAAAAAAAGTCTTTTAATACTGGCTAAACACTTTCACTAATAACTGTTCTAAGTTCTCAAAAGATGTCAAAAAGGAAAGAGTCTTCAGACGCTGAGTTCGTTGAAGAGGGAAAAAGGCTTCTTCTTTATTTCAGCATCAAGTGGCACAGGGTCTCGAGAGACCCAACTGCGCAAACAGTGTTCCAAACAACAGTTTATATACCATTTATCGGGGGGTAATTTGATATCCCCCCACCTTACTTCTCAAATTTTGATATTAGCTCATTCTCTAATAGGTGCATCTCTTCGTGTATCAATTTGGCCATCGCATGATTAGCTCACTCTTAAAAACTGGTTTCAATAGGTTTTTACCAGTCTGCTTTACCTTTCAAGGTCAACTTGCCCCTCTCTTCACTGGGTTTGTAAGTACACACAGGCCTGTCCTTGAAACCAGGGGCTTTCCAGTGTCTAGAATCTCCTATGCAGACAAACTAAGGCCTACACTTTGTGAGAAAATTAATATTCTCTGTTAGGCAATACTTCCTATTTGGTTATTGATTACAATATCTAATCTATTTGATTACTGATTAAGGGAATAATTATTCAAAATCTCTGTCATCCCATAGAATTAAACAGACTGTTTTTGTTACTATGCCTGTAAGACTGATATGTGTAAATGAGCTCTACAGCAATACAGCTGCACTGTATTGTATTCTCATTCAAAAAGCAGTCCAGACTGCTTATAACTTCAGTGTGATTGGGTAGGGCTAAAGTGCTGTAGGCGGAATTGGCAGATTTATGTGAATGTGTTCACAAATGGCCTTTTTGTAGCTTTGTTTCCTTATATGGACTGTATGGACTGGAGAGTGAACAGTGTGTTTTAAAAATTTCTCAGTGTTTACATACTGCATCAAACCCTTTTATTTAAAGAAAATTTATTTTCTTGAAAAGTTATTTTCAGGGGTTGGCCTAGACCTCTTACTTCCGATGAAGGCAAATCTTAATATCTTAATGCTTCAGCATACTAAGACATTTTGGATAACTGTATGCTTCCAACTTTGTGAGAACAGTTTGGGGAAGGCCCTTTTCTGTTCTAGCAAGACTGAGACCCAGTGCACAAAGCAAGGTCCATAAAGGCATGACTGGGTGAGTTTGGTCTAGAAAAACCTGACCTCACCCCCCATCAAACACCTTTGGGATGAACTAGAACGGAGATTGTGAGCCAGGCCCTCTCGTCCAACATCAGTGTCTGACCTCACAAATGCTCTTCTGGATGAATGGACAAAAATTCCCACAGACACTCAAAATCTTGTAGAAAGCTTCCCAGAAAGGTAGAAGCAGTTATAACTGCAAAGGGGGGACCAACTCTATATTAGTGCTTATCAATTTAGAATGGGATATCGTGAAAGCTTGTGTAGTTGTCCCAATACTTTTGTCCATATAGTGTAGGTAATGCCATGTTTAATTATGTAATGAATCACGTTCACATTCCATTTACATTCTATATCAACAGGTTTGAGTTTGTATTTCCAACTTTTTCCGTTTGTTTTTATGTCAAAGAATTACCAACCCTTGACAAAAATGTAAAGGACATCCTTTCTTTTTGCCACACAAGACTGTCACACAAGACTGTCACATAATACTGTCACACAAGACTGCATAACTTTCCATTAAATCCCTATTATTATAAAATATCTCCTCTCTTACTTACAAACACAAATGTGTTTGAAAATTTATCTGCACTTTCAGCATAATTTCTCTCGCTTTCAAAGTTTATATGCCTTTAGGGAGCTACGAGGGTAATCAATCTCTCTCTCTCTCTCTCTTTTTCTCTTACTCTCTCTCCTTCTCTCTCTCTCTCTCTCTCTCTCTCTCTCTCTTTCTCTCTGTCTCTCTCCCTCTCTCCCCCTCTTTCTCTCTCCCTCTCTCTCTCTCTGTCTCTGTAGCTCTGCTCTGTGACTCAGACTCTGTGGTGAAGCTGGATGATGCTCAGTCCAGCTCAGTCATCCTCACTCCGGTGTCTGAGGTGTCATCGGCAGACGTGCCGGTCTCTCCCCCCTCTCAGCACTCAGATGGCCCACAGGAAGCTGCCTCCGGCCCCAGTGAGACAGTCCCCCAGCGAGATGGCCCTGCAGGAGAGGCCCCGGCGGAGAAAGAACCCAGGAGGAACAGACAGCACCTCTACTGTCCTGTCTGCAAAGTGACCGTCAACTCAGTCAATCAGCTAGAGGCCCACAATAGTGGTACGTAGCTGTAAGACCTTATTCACAAGGACACAGTATAGTATCCGTTAAAAAGACGACAGCTGCCATTAAATTCTCTTAAGAACAAGACAAAGAAGATACCAACGAAAGGCAACGGCAGGATTATGCTTCGTTGTACTTTTAAAAAGTTGACCAGAGTTTGAGGTCAGCCAGCAGGAGACGGTCTGGGGTGGGGCTTTAGTCAGATGTGACGAGGTTCTGTAATTCTAATCCGAATAAATGTAGTTCCAGTTTCTACATTTTAAATGTTTATGTATTGGCATTGGCAGATGTGCACATGAAACATCAGATATTGGCATCAACCCACAATTCTCATATCGGTGCAGCCCTAGTTCACAGTCATGTGGGGGAAAAAAACACTCTCCACCCACAAACTTGCCAACAACAAATCAGCAACATGTATCAGTAGATTTTTGACAGATACCACAATGTCCTTTGTAAACACACACTGTGTGTGTCAATGGTGTAAAATGCGTAAGTATGACGATTCAACTGTATTACTATAATTGATTAGAATAATATTCAAAACAATATGTACTCATCTTTGTCAAAATTAAATTATTGGGCTATTTTAAAATCAATAATTTAAATTACTTAAATTATTAAGTGATTTGGTCGCAGGCACGTTATTATCACGATAACACATGACCTTGAGTGTTCTATTGCTTTTATACAACAGTTAAATAAATAAAGTAAGAAATTAATGAATTGGGCCGTGAACATGGCATTTAGTGTTTTAATGTTAGCAGTTCCTTACGCCAAATTATAGTTCCTTAACAAGCAGCTTCTTGCTATGTCAGAGTAACGAGCTCCGCTCACAGCCGGCAGTTGGTTCTCCAGCTCCACACACAGACCAACTGACAGTTTGGGAATTTAGTGTAGTCTCATCTTCAGAGTCTGACCAAATCAGCTGTCTGTCAAATGTGATCTTAAAAGTATCCATTTTCTGTTTGTGTGCAAAGTAAGAAGTAAAAACGATCAAATGGCTCGAGCGTCTCCTACAACTGTCAAAGACATTGCTTAGCAACGGTGTCTCAGCGGAGTGATACAGTATTTGTGGAAAAAACATGATGTTATGGCGAAATAACAGCGCGGTTAGAACGCTTCTCAACCAATAAGCTTGCTAACTGTGGTATAAAAAAAATTATTCTGAGTCAAACCGATATCATCCAATTGAGTTAAATCAGGGTGAAATCTTGAGATTTCATGACGCACTCAACTGTTTCCTGAAGAGATCAGTGATTTACACCCCTGGTGTGTGTATGTGTATGTTTTTTGGACTAGCCCATGACTCCTGTTTGACTTCTAACAGGCACTAAGCACAAACTGATGCTGGAGGGACAGAGTGTCTTGCCACGACGACGTGGGAAGGTGCTGTCCTCCCGTGCCACATGCAAAAGCAAGAGATTGGCCAACAAAGGCAGCATGGGCGTGGCCAACAAGAGCTTCCATTGTGAAGTGTGTGAGATCCATGTCAACTCTGAGACCCAGCTTAACCAGGTAACACGTACACACACGTGTACACACACACACACATTCATGCACATCCAAGGGCTGTTTACTTGTACCTGAAGATGATGTCACTTCTATCATTAGGAGTTCACTGGATGTTAGATAAGCTTATTAGGTCATAGACTGTGAAATATTAGCATTCCAAGCATAGAATTTAGATTCACCAGTTACATTTATTTGAATTGTACAGCAAATACAGGTCAGTTAGTAGAAGCCTACAGTTAAAGGACAATTCCACTGATTTTTCAAAATTTCTACATAATTCAGTCATTAAGATGTAAACAAAGTCATTCAGATGTGTTTGATATGAAAAACTCAGTTTTAGAAAAACGTGCCAAGTCAGAATTGTTCATGGTGGTGGTGATAGGGCCCAGACATCTGGAGAATTTAGTGCCTCTAAATGCTACCTAACTGAAAGTTATTACATAAAATGGTTATGAAAAAGCTGCCTGAAACATTGTTTTATGATAGTTTTGTAATCATCTTTAACATTAGGCTACATCCTGTAATAATATGTACTAATATTCAAATCCAGACTTCCCTCACATTCCACTGTTTCAATGTCTCACACAATTATAACTTTTCACTTTTAACTAACTTTTTTACGCCGCTTGAAAGCAGCAAATGTTATTTACATCTCATGAATGGTCCAGTAGAAATTGTTCAAAATTACTTAGAATAAAAATCTTATTAGATTTACATGCATTAAAGTTAAGAACTTTTTTACTTACCCTATAAAGTTTCCGTATTGGAGATACAAAGTTTATACGACCACAATTATATAATAACGTTTCTTCTGAAAAGACACCCTTTTCAGCACTACTACATTCCAAATGTTTGGTGGACCTTTTTGTTTTTGGTCATGTCATGGTCTTGATCTTCTTAAAAAGGATGTTGATTATGTCAGTTACTCTCACTTAAAGCAATTTATCATGAATAATAATAATCATCATCATTATTATATTATTACGCCCAACTTGGAGATAATTCACCTAACCCATAATCCTTATATACACTGAAGTCTACTTCTGAAGGCTTTTTCTTCCATTATTTTCTTCAGATAAAATTGTAAATATAGGCATTTTTACAGCAATGCTTTCAGTTTGTTTTGAAGACTGATGAGCCTGAAAACTGGTAATTTAAAGTGTTAGAGTCTTCATCACATAGTCAAAAACTTTGCAAAGTGCACTCTGAAAGCAGAAGGCATTTAAACTGTCTGCAAAAACAGCTGCAAAAAGGCACTCATCTTAAATTTGGTGGCAGCTCATTTACCACCTGTTCTGGTGTTTTGAAACACTTACTTAGCAACAGTATGTAGTGTGAATATCCTATAAACACATTATATCAAGCTCAGTAGAAGCCGTGATGTTGCATCAACATGTATTTTTAGGCCCCTGAAAATATTAATACTAATGTTAGCGTTTCATTTGCATTGCCCCAATTCAGTGAGTGTTTCATTAATCCGTTTTTATCTGCTAAAGGAAAGCAGTAAAGCATTCCTCCAGTAAAAGGATTGTGTTATCTCAGAAATTTTGTTCTGCTCTCATGGGAAATAGATTTTGTGTGTGTGTGTACTGTGTGTGTTGGTGTGCATGTGTGTGTGTGTGTGAGTGTGTGTTTCTGCTTGTCTCTTCATGCCAGTTAACCATAATTTTTAATTATATTTTATGCCCTATTAAAGCCTTACTTCATCTGTAAAATGAATTAAGATTGTTGAAAGAGAGGGAGAAGCAGAAAAAGGAAGATAATGAACAAAAAGAAAATGAGAAATTGGGGGGGCTGTTCTCACGAACTTTACACAGCGAAAATCAGACTTCATATGTAGCATGTACACTCCATCACCAGAAAAGGTGATCAACACATTTACATTTCACAAACATGTCCTTATTAAAGACTAGGAAAACCCTCTTCTGGTGCTGTACCTTAAAGATTGGAGGAACTTTTGTAAACATTTGCTGATTTGAGCTTTTTTTTTCTAAAATTACTGCAAAAAAACCCTGTGTTAGCTTACATTAACAAAGTTTTTTCTTTCTCCAATTAGGTTATAATTTCTCAAATATGAGGTTTTTGACAATGACAATGTGTAAAATATTTTTTAAAAAGGATGAACATGCCTTTTAGGGGTTTTTAGGAGATTGTGGGTTAGATAAAATGAATCATTGGACAGCACTAACTTTGACATAAAACAGATTAATTTGACTTGTGCGACAGTATGTTGATTCTTTTTGTTGTGTGGATCAAACTGGATTTAATGACTTTCCTGTGGCTCTTCTTTGTTTTTAATCTAGCACATGAACAGTCGCAGACATAAAGACAGATTGGCAGGAAAACCCCCAAAGCCTAAATACAGTCCACACAGCAAGAGTCCACCTACCTCCGGAGTATCGGTGAGACACAAACACACATTCACACACACAGAACCAGTCGTTAAATTGCAATTTACCTATTTTTCCATCAATGTCAACAATTTGAGAACTATATTGTTCAGTGTATGTGTTGTCATATAGAGTTCTCTAATAGCCTTTTTGTTTATGTCTTTAACAGCTTCATTTTTTTAGTTAGTTGGTATTTAGTATTCCTTATTTGTCAGTTTTGCCATCAAAATCATATCAAAACATCTTTTCTGACAAAGACTAAAGCCTTTAATGCAGCAAAATGTTCTTCCAAACAATAATGCTACCCATTTGACAGCAAGAGCCCTTCATGCTTGTGGCAGCTGCCTTTCAAAGACATTGCTGGTAGAGATGACACAAACATCAATATTAATATGAAAGACATAAAACTTGTCAAATGTGCTTCTGCCACTCAATCACATTTGGAAACAGAAATTACTGAAAATCCCAGCTATGGATGCATCAATGCCATTTTTTTTAGACTGAGTACAAGTACATGTTTTTCAGTACTTGCCGATACCAATACCTTAATGAATAACCTACTTAGAATTCAGTAGTTGTTAGTGTAAATGAGTGCAGTATACCTTAACAGTTAAATCATTGCAATCTAGTTGATTTTAAATGAAATGCATCAGCTAGCTGTGTTACATTAGTTACCCTGGATCGAATAGTGTTGCAGTAGAGAAATGTAGATTTTGTTCCGCATCAGAAAAGTACTTCTGTACAACTGTAAGTAAAGTAAAAACCCTGCTCTTCATGTCTTGTTTCACAGTCTCTGTAGCACAGTGACAGCAGGAATCACATCCAAGGCTAATGCATCCAAGGAGCTCATTTGTCCAGTTTCACATCTTGTGGAAGTCTTTTGATTGGCTGACTGAGCAGTAGTTGAATGTCCTCTAATGCCAGACATACACTGTGTGATTTTAGAAATCTTGTTATTTGGTAATATCACACACTGTACATTTGAATAGACCATCCTGTATGGACAAAGCCTACAACTGATATGCTGACACTGTGCGAAAACACTTGGTCCAGTTGACATGTTTCATGAAACGCAGCCGCTACAGGCAGCTCTGTCTGAGGACAATTATCGTTAAACTTGTTTCATTCAGAACAACATGCTGCACATCCATGTATGGCGCAAACACACTGAGAAACTGAGCTACAGTAGCACTGCTAACTTGTGCCAGACTGTGCACTGAAAATAAAACTAGGCGATTATGTACTTGGTAGGACAGTATAGTCTCTCTTCAGCCTATTTTACAAAGACAATTTAAAAAATCAACTTATTAACTGGATCCTTGCAATTCTATTCAGTCAAACAGAGTAAAGGCAGCATTATTCAGATTTTTTTAGCCTCAGTGTGGTCACCTGTGTAAGGGATATGGATGAGATTGTGTGTTTCACATTCAACCACCATGGTGTCAGCAACACTCTACTGTGCGAGCAGACCCTCTGTTCAATTCATGGGGCTGATACAGTGTTACTTTATAAACACTAGACCTCATTCCCCAACTATTCTTAGGAAAAAAATTCTTCTTAAAACCCACATTTTCCCACGTTTTCACAATGATTCCAGCATTCATCAAGGTTTCCTTATTTGGGATTTGTTCGTAGGTGAGAACACAATCTACACACACTCAAGGGCATAAAGATGTGAACAATTCTATGGTTTAAGGACACATCATGAATCTGACGTAGACTTTTTCCTAGGACCTTTTTTTAAGAACAAATTGAAAAAAAAAGATTTTTGTGAATGAGGCCCACTGTTAGCTAGCTAGATCGAAATATATGCCTATGAACGCATTTAGCACAGTAATAACTAGGGATGTACATTCTGTCCAATTTTTTTATTTAAGGATCCATAAGAGGCCATGAACAGATATCTAGTTAACTGCAGGGAAGGAAAAACAACACAATAAATGAATGAAGTAATGAATGAATTAATGAATACATTTTGATTGAAAATAATATGGGACTGTATCTTTAGATGACAGCACTGGTGTTGCTAAAAAATATAGCAATACGCAGAGGAAATACAACTTAAAACATATTTCATTATTTAAAAACAGCCGAGAGAAATTGGTAGGTTTTTGTGTTGCAAGAATAACTGAGACTGCCTCTTCAGATGCACTAGTAAGCTAGCAGAAGGTAACAGCATCACGTTGCACGCTATTGAGAACTCGTTGTAATTTACACAAGGTATTTATTCCTCCGTGGACAATGTGCCCATGTATTATAGAGTAGTTAGTTCTCTGCCTTCTCAGTCACATCCTTAACAACACATCCTTGGTAATGCCCTCACATTCAAGCACTTTTGTTTTGGAGTGGCAAAGTATAACATAACATACTTGCAAATATGAGCAACACCGTTGCATTTCACTGAGCATAAGAATAGCATACATATGAATAACGTACATAAGATAACAAATACTTAAATAGTGATTTCAATATTTGAACACTGTTAGCTCAAACAGTTAACAGAGTGCTCGGGTACCTGTGCACATCCCTAGTCATAACAATAGGTTAAACATCATAGTTGTGCAAAGCCATTTTTTGGTGAAAACATACTGAATTGGCCATGAATAGATTCCTCAGCTGTGACCTGTGCGACAGAATGCTTTGGTATTACTTTAGATTTAACAGGACAAATAATGGCAGCTAGTCTAGGCTACTGAAAGGCAGGAAAACGTTAATACATCATGAAACAGCTGATCAACCACTTCCATCCATTGGATCAGATGTCTTAGAGTTAACTAAGAGACAGAGCAGCTTATTGGATACAGGCTGGACCTAACTTTGCAGGAAGGTAGATCTCCAGGACCAGGGTTGGAGACCACTGTTTTTGATGTTACTGGCAGCACAGTTTATCACACAGTTTATTATGAATAGTTAAATTGATTTCACAAAGTACAGTGAAAGTACAATGCTATGTGTACACATGCACAGACACTATTCTCATAGTCTTCGTTCTGATTTGTCTTTTAGCAGAGTGTCAGGTGGAATGGCTATGCAGGAGGGGCTGTGTCAGCCATGAAGAAAGTCTTTAACCAATACAGTCTCACCTCTTTGTCTTCACAGGTAAGTAACAGACCAGGAACTCAGGTCTGGCTTAGCTGAAAAAGAATAGACGTATACCTAGAATTTACTTGATTCAAATGTGTCATTTCCACGTGAATAAAATACATTATATTAATACAATTTTTGCCAAAAGTAAACTGAAAGACAAAATTGTGTGGAAACTATTCAAGGCATCACTTTTATCAGTGATGTAAAAACCACCTCTAAGGCTTACTTATCATCAGAACTTTCAGATGCGCGCTGTATATTATAGTCCAAAGCAGACCTGCATGATGCTGTATTGCATTAAAGTCCACCTGATAAAGAAATCAAAATGGACATTTTTTGTTAGTTCATGTCCATTGTCATAGTAAGCACCATTCATCATACTAAATCATATCATTTAAAATACAAAAAGTTTGTTTTTCTCTAATCTTTCCTAGAAATGTAATGAATTTTGCATCTAAAACGTCTAATGTTTTGATTGCATCACCGTGCATCAGCGGGTGGGGAAAAATATTAACCAGAAATATCATGTTTCACCTACTTCTTCTTGCACCCCTACCTATCATCAAGAGAAGAAGCTGGCTCAGAGACCCTCCCTGATACTCCCTAGTTTTACTCGTACAAAGTAAAATTCACATTACTTTAAATCTAGAGGCTGCATTTATGATGCTGACCTTTCTGGCAGATTTTGAAGATTTGGTTTTCACCTTAAAGTGTGTCCTCATTATCATATTGATGCTAATCAGGGTTGCTTTTCTGCTAAAAGCATTTTGAACATTTGACTTTGGCAATTTTCATTTGACTTTGGAAAGGGTTTGTTTCTCTACACACTGTTCATAATCATTCTGTAACCTCTGTCCAGACCTGTGATGACATTACATGACTGACGTGCCTATTGGCTGTGGTAACTCATTTCCGTTCACCACATATCTCACTGCCGCTATCTCTCTCTCTCTTCTTATCTCTTTTAGACCAAGCTGGCTCTGCAGAAGCAGTTGACTAAAAATTTGACGACCAGCTTCCTTCCCACCCATATAACTCCGCCCACTCTGTGCACAGTGGCGGCCAATCCCCTTACACTGCGACACCCTGCCGGTGCCGCCTTCATTCAGACACCGATCTTAGGCCCCACCCTCTTTCGGCCTGCTCCAGGACCACTCCGGGCCACACACACACCTGTTATCTTCTCTCCTTATTGAAGTATGCATAGAAATACTAGCACACGCACACATATTCATGGTGTGAACATAGCGTTGCTGACATAATGAAATCTTATATCCCTGAAATGGTAATTTCATAGGAGTAGGAAAAAAAAAAAACTAATGTATGTTAATGTAACAGGGTTTATTCTATATTATTTCAGGCCATTTCTATCATGAAATGTTCATAAAATGCAAAGAACAGCTGGTGTGTCCAAATTGTGTAGAAAAAAATATAAAAATTGGAGTTATAAGCTTTTGTTATGACAGCGACGATAAATATGATTTAGTCTTACAGTCTATACAGATACATATACACTTTATACATGTTAGAAACACCTACAGTGCACACAGGCCCCATTTACACCTGGCATTAATGTACGACTTGGTGATCTGGTCATAAGTGGACAGCAGTAACTATAGGTGTGAACGTGTTCTTGAAGATGCACAGTGATCCGATCGCTCAAACCACCTTCAGAGGTGGTCAGGGAAGCATATGGACACCTAACATTCGTAATGTGAACCCTAAAGAGTCCCTGATAATCCCTAGTAACAAAGGAGGACCACGTCATCAAATGCAGTGTCACAGAAGAGATCAAAGCAGCTGCATAGCTTCATTCTTTGTCTCCTGTCCCAGTTGTTTGTGTTACCAGTCTAGATCTGAACATTTGTAACAGCTCGTATGTGTGCACAAACAAGGTCTTGTGGCACAAATGCAGTGAGAGACTGATGTAGAAAAATCAGCGGCACCCATCTTTCAGTCATGAAACCTAATAATAAGTGGTCACTAAAGATGCATTCAAAACATATGGAAATGGCAGGAGTGAATGCAGGTGCGTTTCTGTCCACTTCTGATCAGATCATTGGAGGCAGATGCAAATACCAGGTGTGAACAGGGCCACAGACTCTAAAAACAGAAATGCATTGGATTTACTTGATTGAAATGTGTACCCTAATTTCTACATGAATAAAATGCATTACCTTGTTCTCAAACGTAACCTACAGTCTTAGCAAAAAAGATTCTACAGTACTGTGCTAAACTCAGAGAACCTCCTACATTTGTTTGATTTCCAGTTTAAACGGCCATTAAGTACAAATTCTTTTTGTGAGATATTTCCGAGAAGATATAAGATAGTCCACTAGCATAAGGAAAGGAAAAGTTAAAGGAAATTAAGTGAAAAAACAGGAATTTCCCAGGAGTTTCTAAAACTAGAGTTCAAAAAATGATTAAAAGGTACAGAGAAAATTGGATTTCTAACAACTGTACAAGACCTGGTAGAGCATCAATACTATCCTCATCAGATTAACAGCACTCATGAACAGCTTTCATCTTTGAGAGAGAGGAGAAAATCAAGCTCTGCTCTTGCTTCAGATCTGAAAAAATCTATCCGTTATCCTTCCACTATGGGGAGATAACTCAACACTATGGGTCTGAAAGGATGTGTAGCTTTCAAGAAGCCCTCCTGAGAAAAGGAAATAGATTTTAAACAAGAGAATATTTGCAAATCGGACAAAGAAGCTGCTGGTGTTCTCAGAACAATGGATTGACCATTCCAGAGTCCAGACCTCAACATCACTAAGCAACTTCTAAGATTGAATATCCCTGCAGATTTCTATGAAAAACTGAAAGCAACTCTCCTGGAAAGAGTGGAAGCTGTAATAATTTTTTTACATTTAGGAATGATATTTGATATGATATTTCATTGCTGAGGTTTCATTTTGACTAGAATTGAAATAAACGATGAGTCTCTGAGTTTTATGCAGTGCTATATTACATATTACTGTAAACAGCAGTTTTCCATCATAGAGAAGAACTATTTTATCATGCAAGGAACTGTTTATGCATCCAAAAGCTTCTTTGAGTGTTCACAGTTCTATCATCATAACCATCACTGTTACTAAAGAATCCCTAAAGAACGTTTTTTAAGGATGTATGTAAATTGATAGACACGTCGAAATAATGTACAGATTTGAATGAAGTAAATTCAGTGCATCTTTTTTTCAGTGCAATGTCCAAACTGACACACACACAAACACCCACACATACACCAGTTCCCTGCACTCTCCTCTAAGACTGTGGCACTTGCTAAGGTGTCACTCTTGAACTATGCAGCACAGAGAGGTAGAAAGCAAGAGATAGACAGTGAGAGATGGATGACTCCAGAGAAAACAAGAAAATGGAAGCATAAGGAGGAGAGTAAATGCACACACCCCCCCGCAGGCTGTGGGTGGGGCCCTAGGGACCTCATTGACCCGCCCACCTCTCTCCATTCCTCCAATGAGGTGTTAAGTGATAGGCCATGCCTCCTGGGAATTTCAGCTTGAGTGGAGCCTCTGGCTGGGACCTCGTATGATTTTATAAGACATTAATCATAGTTTTTATTGTGTAATTTATTAGGAAAAACAATAACATTAGAGACGTAGAGCTAATTTTTAGTGAGACAAATGCAAACATCCCTTTACTCGATGCCTCATGAATATGTTTTTTTATCTTTTGACATTGTTTTCTTTTAATAATTGTTTATGCCTTTTATTTTTCATCATCATTTCACTTCAATAGTTCTACAGTATGAACAAACATGTTATTGCTCCCCCAGACTTGACCAAAAGAGCCGCCGCTTTGCATCATGGGTAATCATCATGGAGTTACGCTGAATGCAGGTGTAACGGATCGAGATGACAATTTGCAGGCAAATCAGCCCTCTATTGCTAACACGTATACACGCGCGCACACACTCGCGCACAATCAGTGTTCCAATTTCTTCTGCATAGATTAGGTGATTTTGTGAGTCAGGCAGACACACACACACAAAGATGAACACACACACACACAAAGATGATTATGGTGGTAGTCACAGTTTGACGTGGCCTTTCATGTCGGTATATTTTGCTCTCAGTATTGTCTCATTAAGGCCTCACAAAGGTCAGCCTGTCCGTCAAAATCTGTCTCCCATCTCGCGTTGATTAAGATCTAAACTCTCCCCATGTGATTTGTGTGTGTGAGAGTGTGCGTGTGTGACAAAATAAGCAGTCAGAGCCTGATCTCAAGACTTCATTCTCTTGTACACACTCCATTCAGTCCGTGTGGTACAACCGCGCCCTCTGCTGTCCAGAGCATGTAGCACAGTCAGAGCCCCGTTCTGATTCTAATCTAACCTAACACAGCCAAAACAGTTTCTAACATGCCCTTGTTGACTCGTCCTCGCTGTTTCCTTTTGGGTGGAATCCCAAAATGCCATCTTAAGTGTCTTACCACAAACAGGTAGGCCTGTTTCACACATACTACCTGCTGCGGTGACTGCTGCAGCTTCCGTTCATATGTACAGCGCGTGTGCGCTATGGACCTGTGCTGCAGCTCTATATTGGAAATGGATGCTAACTGTAAGCAGGCTGTTTTTGTTGCTGTGCCTTAAATACTGACTTCTTTGTTCTCATTACTGGCCTGTATTGTGTCTTTCCAAAAAGCAATTTTGGCTGAAGCACTTCTAATAATAAACTTACAGTGAACTTAAGCTATGTGTTTCAGCACTTGCCAGCCCTGCTCGGTAAGTTTGCATGGTCTGCTGCTTCGTGGCTGAGCTGTCTTGTATCTATTTCACAATAATAGCACTTACAGCTGACCAGGGCAGAAATTTCACAAACTGACTTGCAGCAAATGTGGCATCCTATGACAGTGCAATGTTTAAAGCCACTGAGCTAATCAGTATGATCCATTCTAGTGCCAATATTTATCTTGAAAATCGCATGGCTATGGGCATGATTTTATACACCTGTTAGCAGTGGGTGTGGCTAAAATACCTAGTTAGAAGGGGTGTCCACATACTGTTCTCCATATAGTGTCAATGTGTTGGTTTTTCCATCTCTGTTTCCATGCAAATTATTTATTTTTAAAAAGGTCAGGAAATATCAGTTTTCCAATTCTATAAAAAGACAATTTGATACGTAGGTTTTCATAGTTTGATTCACTATATTTTGCCGCATAGCGTGTGCAGCATATGGAAAAGATAGACTCGATGCCTGTTCTCTAGATGCTGTGCTGCTTCTGAGGTGAACCCTCATGCTGCATGAACGCTCTAACCTGATATAATTGGTAAAATGAAAAGAGATATTCCACCATGCAGAGGTAGTATGTGAGAAACAAGCCTTGCTGTTTGTTTTGTGCTGGGTGAGCATCAGCTCAACAGAATTGTAGACTTCAGCAGCAGAACTTGCTCAGAAATCCTTGTGATCTGACACAGTTTCTTTTTCAGTCTTAAAAAAATAGCAGACAAAGCGGTTTATAAACCAGAGCAATAAAATACTGTAAAATATTAAAAAACAATTCAAAACTAAAACATTCATTTGCTACGTTCAACTATGTAGCACACTGCTGTATATATCACACATGACTGTGTTATTCTACTAGCTTGCTAGTTAGTTAGCTAAGGGCAACATAGCGAGCAACACTAAAAAAGGGCAGTGCAGCACCCGACGTAGGTGCTACACTCTTTAAAGCTGTGAGGAGAAGTCAACAAGAGCACGCTTTGGAAATGATATTGAAATGTTTGCAGAATTCCTAATCTGATCCAGGATTAGTGTTTTCTTGCTTTGGGGGGTCTGGGGCTTCTTAAATCCAATTCTGGATCTGCTGTGATGTGTGTTGCTCCTGCTTTTGTCTGTTACACTCACTACATTCTTCTGTTGCTGTATTTCCATGTTCTGAATTATTAAGATATTTTGCAAAGTTTTTATGAAGATTACTTTAAAAAATGTCTATCTATATTAGGTTAAAGTTTATCTGTAGATCTGAAAATAGAGTATATAGAGTCTTTATCAGATTCATTATTGTCATTATTGTTATGATAAGAACAATTTCTATCTGAGGGTCTATTGTTTTGTTAATACGTACAAAGATACTGGAAGAAGAAGATACTCCCATAAGGATTTGGTGTATTTAGTTTGTGATTAAAGACATGGGAGTGAAAAAAGCTCCAAAGCCTGCAGTCATGGACAAATCCTGAGGGGCATCTCGGGGCGAATCGGGGCTTCTGTTTCTGCTCCTTTTGAGGAGAGAGTACCCCCTGGAGAAGCCCCCCAGCCCTACACATGGACAGAAGTTAC